TCTTCATCTTCATCTTCATCTTCATCTTCATCTTCATCTTCATCTTCATCTTCATCTTCATTTTCATCTTCATCTTCATTTTCATCTTCACCTTCATTTTCACCTTCATTTTCATCTTCACCTTCATTTTCATCTTCCCCTTCATCTTCATCTTTATTCAAAACCATTTTTTTTATACCCATATTGGGATACCTTAATAAATAATTTGAATTTGATTTTCGTACGTATGGCAACCCTTTAAAAACCTAAAATCATATTGTCATCATATACAGGTCCAGCCCTTTCATTTGACACCTCATTTTTGAAAATCGAACGAACGATAAAGATTTTATGACTTGGTGTTAAATATTTAACGCAACCCTCTGCGGCAGAGAAATTTTGAATTCGATTTTCTAACATGTGGCAACTCCTTTGATGGAACTAAAGCTATGTTGCAGACCCGAAGGACGGGGCCTATATATAAAAATATGTATAATAAAAATGATTGAAATTGATTTTCGGGCGCTATGATCTGTTTAGCTGGACGTGTGAGGATTTTTCGAAATACGCCGGATTTTACTTTCACGATTATACTATATTTTTCGGAATCAACTCTCTAATTCATACTCCGCATCACCTCAAATTTTTAAGAGAAATTGCGCCAGCCATTACCTTTGTAGGCTCGAAAAGGGCATTATAATTATTAATGTTCTAAGTTAATGACCACATTATCTTAAATAAATAACGACACGATTTTGAAAACTATGTAAACATATTAGCCGTTTATGTGTACTTACCAGTCTTCGACATCTATATTAGCTTTATTGCAAAAAGTCAAAAGATCATTTATTAAAAAGTTTGTCACCAGTTTAGCGGGCATATCAGAACGGTGCTCCATTATATTTAAAAAGTATTGCAACAAAATGGCTTCATTCTAAAAAAGGAAAAAAAAACTTTGATAAACTTCTATTAGTTAAGAGCGTGTCAGACGTGGCAATATTTCCAGCTTTTCCACGCAATTCGTTGTCAAATTGAGAAAGATGAATTTTATTTCGAAGTGTGAACAGCCAGAAAGACCTTCACATTTCGGAAATCAATTTCAGAAATAAAAGTTGCTCGATGTGACTGCAATTGAGAGAGCGCAAATCGATTTCGGAAAAATATTTCAATTTGCTCGTGCTGCACTATCTATCTGCAATTTGTCTTTCGGAAATAAAAAACCTCGAAAGACATTTCACAGGCAAGGTATGACTGCTCATGCAATTGCTTTCTGAAATTTCTCAATTTGACAGCCTTTTCGAAATATATTGCATACGAAATATATTGCCAGGCCTGACACGCTCCTTATTTCTTCATTGCTTGCTAACTCTTACTGCAAACCATTTTAAAGAATAAAATATAAGCTTATATTAGCTCACCACAAGTATAACAGCTAGATCTTGATTTAACTGATATTTTTTGATTAGATTTGATCTGGTATCCTCTGGCAGTTCAGGTAGTTCCTTTACAATTGATGCTACGGATAGAAAATCTGTACAAGAGGACGTTGTTTTATTTAAATCTAAACGTAGCGGCGGTAAATTTGGTTCTGGCATAAATCGATAATCTTGTAAAACTTCTTTATCACGCATAGGCACCGTGCATCGCGTGGTTGCATCCCATGCCCGTGTTTCATTTGTGATAACGCCTCCCTTGGATACAACTCCAAATTGGCGTTGTATTTCGAATGTGATTGCCTGAGAAATACTCCGCACTGAACCAATGTTTTTAATTTCAGTACGGACTCCTAAAGGTTCCCCATTCTTGTGAATTGATATATTAGCATCAACGCGAAGAGCTCCCTCTATGTTGTAGTAATGAGTAAATAATGCGAATTATATACATAATTGAAAATACTAACTAACCTTCCATTTTGCAGGAACATGACCTTAGACACTTAAGAATCAGTATCAATTCCTTTACTAAGGATGCTGCTTCCTCGCCAGTTTCTAAATCTGGAGCGAACACCAGTTCTATAAGTGGCGCCCCAGCCCGGTTGAGGTCAACAAGGCTTCTATAAAATATAAAATAAAACAAATTTGCGTAAGTTTAGCTATTCCTGCTACATTTTAGCTGTTACAATTATGTGCATACCAAAGCTGGGTAATTTTTGATTACGATTACATTTCAATTACGATTCAGTTACGTAGACCCGACTGTCGTGGGAACGCTAAAAGTATTATGATTACAATTAATGTAATCGTAATCAAGAAAATGTTGATTGCGATTTTCTGATATTCTGTAGAGGTTTGATTGTTAAATTTTAAGGATTACAATTAAAGTATTCGCAATCAAGCATGTTATTATTACAATTACAGTAATAGTAGTGCTGAAAATTTTCAGAATTACTATTACAGTAATCGTAATACTAAGTAATCCAAATGTAATCGTAATCATAAAATGCCCAGCTCAGGTACATACCTCTTTAATTCTTCGTCGTGCAAAGATTTTCCACTGTCTTGTTCCAATTGTAGTTGTAATAACCGAGCTTTCTTATAGTAAGTTTTTTTTTCCCGGCACAATAACTGGAAACATCAGCTCGCCATCATTCGCCAAGGCTGCTCTTTGTTGTGTTATTTGGTATCCAACCTGTCAGGAAGCTTTATAAGAGTGTAAACATTCAAGGTGAGAAGGACAAACCGGTAAGTCCGCATAGAAATAATGTTTACGGTCAAACATAGACGTTTCGTTGACACGACATCCGAGCGCGACAGCTGTCTTTACTCCAAGTTCAACGCATTTCCGATTAAGAACCTGTATAAAATGTATATAGCTGATATTAATACATATACATGTATATATATAGGGCGCGTTCAGAAATGCATCAAGCCAAAGCATCAGTCTTTTATTTCTAAACTATAATTGATGGAAATTTCAAATATGCGCAACCACGGTTAAAAGCCGAATTGGAACTTAGTTGCTCAAATAAAACATTTCCATCAATTATAGTTTAGAAATAAAAGACTCTGATGCTTTGGCTTGATGCATTTCTGAACGCACCCATAATGTATATTTTTTCTGCATGTAACGGAGCCATACTAATCTGAGTAATTAGTGATCTGAAAAACAATCATTTCTTACTGGCAATGTACCCGGCAGAGAAGCATCTAAATACGAGACCGCTGTATTAAGCGGCGCTCCAAATACATTGTTGCTTCCAGAGAAGAGTTTTGAATCAGTTAGTAGTTGCGCGTGCACCTCTAAGCCAACGACGCTCTTCCAGTTCCTGTCAAAAAGAACATTAATGAATCGAATTTGTGTTTTGACAAGCTACATTATTTATGTGCCTTGTGTTTTGAAGGGGTACATACTCGATAAAAGCTTTTGTGGTTTGTATTTGACTTGAAAATCCTCTGGAGAGTTTTTTTCTTAAAAGTCTTTGATACATTTGATGTTGTTAATTATTAAAATGCAGCGAATTTTAAAATATGCAACACAGCCCCAATGTTTAGGAGGTTTTTTGGAGAAATTACGAAAGAGCGGAATTGGAAGAATATACAGCTGATGGCAAAACAGCTGTTCAAAAATAATAGGTTTGTTCCTTGAGTGGTTATAGGTTGTTTCCCGTACGCAATGCGGGATCTCACGGGTAGGGAAGCGCGATACCGATACGATATTCAATATCGATACAATATTTTGTTCGATATTTATAATATCGGAAAATTTTCTCCCCAAACCCTCCCCACTAGAAAGCGGACATTCCACGCTTTCAAACAGGCGTACGCCCCCCTTGGGCTCCCCCCACAGGCCCCTAGGGAACCGTTTGAAAAAGGGGGAAACACGGAATTTTCTTAGGCAAACTGAGCAGTTTGAAGTGGAATATGACCCAACTAACAGAAACCGTGGGATTTTTTAATAAAAGAAATTATGGCAAATTAGATTTCGGGCGATTTTGAATAAAGAATAAAAATTAAAAATAGAAAAAACAAGTTTTTATAATTAATAATGTTCTTCTTAACAAATGTATTTTTGCTTAGAATTCCTTTCTGCGTAGGCGGCCTTCGGCCGCACTTAGGGATTATAACCCCCAGGCAGTAGAATTCTCCTTTCTGTGTTGCCAAAGAAGGAGGGCTGAACACCTTTGTATATGCTTCTGGGTTATATAGTTTCTGTCTCTCATTCTTTTGTATATTTTGGAGTTTGACAGCTGAACTCCGCCATTTAATTTGCATATGCAACCAAAGTCAAACGCGTGATTTTGAAGGTGTTTTTATTTAATGAATTGTGATTAATTGGTAAATATTAAAGTCGTAAATTAAGTTATAGCTAATCGAGTGAAGTGTAAAGTGAAGGGGAATACAAAAATGTATTGGTTTAGTGGCTGCTTTAAGGAGAACAGGAGAGATAAATGTACGCTAATTTCCGAATTTTACAAAAAAAAGGGCATATTTCAAACCCAATTTGTAAATAAATTAGTGTCCAAATCTTACAACAGTGAGTGCTAAAATAATGCGTAGACCCTTGACTACAAGCGTGTGGAATCTTTTTTGGATCGGGCCACCCGGTGACAAGAATTGTTAACATTTTTTGGTAATAAAATTTTCCGGTCACAAAATCTTCGGTAACGTGCAGAATAGACCTGTTATATGCAAATTCGTGGAAATTGAATTTTGGTTTCAAAAATTAGATTTTAAGTTATAAAGATTGAAAATATATCAACAGGCCACTCACTATTTCTTAAAAGCAACAAGTAAATGCAGGCGCATGTGAACACAAAACAGCTGATATGCACTTTGACACTGGCTGTTTCGGGCGGGAAGAAGAAGACACTTACGATCCAATACGTTCCAATTTTCGCTCTATTACCCATTTTGTTGAGTACGGGAAAGATTTCTGGGTCTATTTTGGGCACCCGCGGGATCCCGCGTTGCGTACGAGAAAAAACCCATGATCCAACTACACAAGATCTGACAACATGAAGTAAAAGAAAAAAGAAATTTTCTGCCTAATTTCGGCGCCATGTTATTTTCTGTGAAAAGTAAACAAAGAATACAAAGACGAAGCATTAACAAAAATATGCAGGCAATGTCAGATCTGTTCTAATTGGTTCATGATTTAGACTTTAATGCAGCATTCCGAATGCAATATTTAGAATTTTCGAACATAGTTTTTTGAAGAGCTTTCATGCTATCACATTTAGCAAATGTACATTTACGCGAGTTCGCAATCGTTCGCTTTTGACAATCGGTCGCTTATTCAGATCTGTATCTATAACAATCAATTCTCAAGCAGAATATAATGTGTAGAACCCTTTTTACTCTGCGGCGTCACGCAAGCGAGATTTGCCAGTACGTGAAGACGGTCGGTAAAGTTTCAGGTGGCATCACTAATGTTCTATTCTACTTGTCGTATTAATCATCTTATTTGTTTGACATTTGCAAAATATTAGAAATTGGGAACGTAATTGCTTCTTTCTCTTTAATTTTCTACACTGTTGGGTGAATGAAAAGTTAAAATGAGGTGTTTGGAAATAATTTTCCGCACAATACAATTGTAGTTCTAGTTCCGATATTTTGGTGGATATGATGAAACGACCGGATGTAAATTGGAAGATTTTTATGCTTTATATTTACGGTCATTTCCACATGTTTGTAAATGTTTACAATCATTTAGAAGATAGAAAAGAAATAGATGAACAGTCGTAGTTGGAGTAAAGGCCCGAAATTTTAGCGACACAACCGATAAAAAAATCAACGTCAACTATTAGCATGGATGTGGAAAGGGTGTTTGTCGATTTGGAGTCGAATCAAATACACGAGTGCGAGGAATCCAAGCGAAAACTGGTGGAACTGTTTACACAAAGTAAGTTCATTTATTTGTATACAATGTTGTTTATTTGAGTAAATTTTTTACAGACAAAGAGACATGGCCTGTTCACTATATGATGGAGTATTATTACAAAACAGGTTCCCAACGAATTATGGAGGTTTTGGTCAAAGTACAACCGCCGCACGATGCATTCATTTTCGACCGTATATCTGATTGGCTTAAATTACAAACACATCGCTTACAGGCTTTAAACTTTTTATTTTTTGTTGTTCGTAACAATCCGACTTGGTTATTCAAAGTTGAAAAACATCGCCTTATAAAAGATATGTTTAAGCTTTTGATGGTATGTATTTATTACTGCTATTGTGGTACATTTTGATCAAATTAAACTTTTAGACTGAAAAGGATATCGTACCACTAATGAGTGCGCTACTTTGTATCATAACATTATTACCCATCATACCTAACTTGGTTCCAAATATGTTAGGCGATTTATTTGAAGTCTTCGCGCATTTAGCAACTTGGAACTGTCAGAATCCCAAGGGATTACCAGATGATAAGCTTGTGCACCTACAGTTGGGACTACAAATGTTGTTTCATCGTCTTTACGGGATGTATCCTTGTAACTTTTTAGCCTTTTTAAGTGATTTTGTAAAAAAAGAAAAAGGTGCTATTTTCCACCACACAATCAAACCTTTGTTAGAGACAGTGCGGATGCATCCAATGCTGGTAACAGCGACAATAGATAGTGAAGTTAATCATGGTCGCTGGAAAGAAAAGGAGCCTCATGACGTCGTAGAGGAGTGCGCGAGATTGTCTCTTCCCATGCTTCATCAGGTAAATTATTTTAAATACTAGAGACTTGACATGCCAATTTTTCGTTCATAGGATTTCAACTCTGAGCAAATGGTTTCAATATCAAGAGGACTTATGGAAGCGCCAGGAGAAGCCCGATTTATGTTAGAGTTGAAGAGAAGCAATGATTCCAACTCGGCCTACAAGTCAGATAAGGTTTACTACACCGCTGAGCATATAAGGGACCAGCAGCAGCAATATCACATACGAGGCAGTAATGGTCCAATGTGGCAACATGACTTTGATGCAAATAGAAACATGAGTGGTGCTATTTGGAGCCCTTACAATGAAATAACAGCATCCGGACAAATGCCATTAACACCTACACCTTGTTATATGCTACCATTACCGCCTGCGGGTGCCTTCGTTTCCAGCATCTCCAATCAAGTTGCGGGTCTTACAGGTTCATCTCCGCCTGAAGCCGCTGTAGAAGCAACGCCGGAGACAACACCTATGAAAGACTTAAAAGAGCATAAACAGCATATGACGAATCCTCATGCAGTGCGTGCCATTTTTGCTAGTCAACCTTCTTCGCCTTTACGCAAAGAGAATCAAAATCAATTCAATTTCTCCGATATGGCAACAGATGGCGGAGCTGTAACAGCAACAACGACGCTGTTTGAGCAAGAAGTAAATACACGGGTGGTGACACGCGTATCTACAACATACGATCGCAGATTACAACAGATTGTGCATGATCGTAGCCGATCACATAGCCCATTTCAAACGATTGAGGCAATGATGACCAAACAGCAAAATTCTTTTCGTTCACCCAACGAAATCAACTGTAAGTATTTAAAAAAAGAGCGGAATTGTTAAATTTTCGTTATTGCCTTTCTTTCAGCTAAATGTGGAACACCCGATGCAGATTTAAGTTGCATGACAAACAGCAATCACATGCTGTCGTCAACTGTGCCGACGCCTACACCTACTCCAACACCGACACAAGCATTAACTCCCTCTGTAACACCAACACCAAATTTTACCGCGCAGTCAGGATCTATGGCGCCACTTTCAACATCAACATTATCGGCACTGGAAAATATTACAAAAGTTTGCAATGATTGCAATGAAACCGATCGATCTATGTGTACTGAGGGTGGGCTGCAAATTCCAACCAGCCGATCCATGCAACTTTTAATAGTAAAAGGCCTTAAGCGTCGTAGCCGTATGGTCAGCGACTGTTACAATGATTCAAGTTGTATGAGAGTAAGATTGAACAAAAAACATGCTGGAGAAATGGAGGCTGTTGAAACCGATATGAGGAATGTTCGGCGAACAAAGTCATGTTCAGCAATAAATTTGTTAACGTCAAAAACGGGCACAGAACAGATTCAAGATGACAGTGACGACGGAATTGCTAATAACGTTGCAAAGACGAACGCGAAGAATTTAACCATATTGCAGCATCGTTTGCAAAAAAGCGGAAAAATGTTAGCTATTGCAACTGCTAAGAAACAATTGCTTGATGGCGGTGCAGTGGTCAATTCGTTCAATCATGCTTCAACGCAGACCGTTGAAAATATTTCTCAAAATTACGAAAACTCTTTGTTTCAAATGTTGCTTGAGAGTGTGAATTTACGTAACGTGCATGAAAGGAATCAGCTGTATCCACAAGAGCTACTAGATCTGTATGTATCACGCAATTCGCGATCAAAAGACGGAAATGATATAGGGGGCCGACTGGATCAGGTATGGATGTAATTTGTTACACATGGAAGAATACTGTAGATAAACTTGTTACTAATTTTTATAGGAACAATTTCAACTGCTCTATTTACAATTGCAATACGAGCGACATCGTCGTGAAATGCACGCGGAAAGAAACAGACGTCTA